AGGACAGATTGAAGGCAGGAGAGACAGAGGAAACAATGCATAACATAGTGATCTTGAGTAAATGCTTGGTGGAACACGGTTTAAGAGAAATAACAAAGTTTATTAAGAGTTACAAGGGACAGGAAGTTGTGGAGAGTCACAATTGCCTACATCCCAAGGGAACATAGCACATTTATGACTGCCTCTTTTAAAAAGATAAAGATGCATAATCATGTTATATAGTTGGTCCAAAACTTTTGCATTCCTGTATAATAAAGTAAATTTTTAATCTTTCAGAAGTGTTTTTTTTTCTTTTTCTTTTTTTTAACAGATGTGTTAAAAGATTTGAATTCTAAGAAATTAAAACATTTTCCAAGTTTATATATGATGTAATTGTAAAATTATGGCTGTGATCATTATATTCAAATTATAAAAAACACAATGGCAAGGCTGCTTAAGTCATTTAAATTTATCATTAACCTTTTTACCTTGTCTAGTTCATATTGAGCATTAAAATAAAAAATGCAAGGAATATTGAAAAGCAATCAATTTTGGTAAAATTTGGTTCAGATGGATTTACTCCTTACCTGACTTGAGCAAAAATCAAAAGAATAATTGAATGAGAAAATGAAAAATAATAATAATTTTATGTAATGTATTTTGTCCTTCAAAATGACATATTTGGACTAAATAATGTTTTTATTAATGGAATCATATATCTGTAGGAGGAAGGAATAAAAATATAAACAAATATCAGTTATAATTAAACATTAAGAGAAACACTGAAGAATCAACTCTACTTAATTTTTTGCTGTCAAATGTGTCTAGATGCATAACCTAGCTGACTTCATTTAGCTTCAGTTTTCATTGCTGTTGAAAAATTGTAACAATTTCTTCTGTTCTAGATATGGATGGCTACTGTCTAAAATACTGAAGAGTAACAAGATGAACAAAAATTAATTTTTGATGCATTTTTTTTCTAAAACATTTTCTCTGTGAAAATTTGTTTTCAAATTACAATAAAATTGTTCAGTGAATTCTTACAGGTCATAAAACAATTTGAACAACTATCTTAATTTTTGCACATTCTTAACACAAAAGAAACTTTCATTGAAATATCACCTGCTTCCTATAAATGTAATTTACTTGGTTAAAGCATTTAATCAAGCAAACATGTGAAAATTGTGGATAACTATAGTTTAAATCATTGAAGTAACCACCTGTTAACTTTTAATGCATTTTCAATCCGATAACCATTTTATAATAGATAGACTGATCAAAATTCCATAGATGTTAACAACTAAGTTTATTCATTAGCTTATGCCTTTGTTCTCTCAAATTTTGCTTGCATCTTCTCATGCTTTCACTTACCCTTTCCAATCTTTGTTACCTGTCTGTTTTTATGTAAATGTTATACATTATATTAGTTTTATATACCCAAAAATATATATGCACAAATATTTTTTCACTGTGTTCTCTTATTTTTTGCTTTACTTCTCTATAAAGAATTTTAATGTAATTTAATTTCTCTTTTCCTTTACTCTCTCTCTCGAGATTGATAGATAGATATAGACAGTGTTGGCATATAAACAACGACAAGAAATCTGTTTAGTTAGAGACATTTATAATTGTAACACTTTTACATGAAAACCACAATCATCAGACTATTATTAGCTATCCCAAACTTCCCTAGTTTACAGTGCAAACACATGTTAAAATAGGTAAATTTCCTTCCATTTAAACTACTAATATCTTGTTTATTTTTTAGGTTATTTTGATAAAATTAGTATGCAAACTATTCTTTTCTCTTTCTAAAGTTATACAAGTAATTTTTTTAAAAAATAATTTTAGAATTTTATTTTTTTTATGTTGAATTTGAAAGAAAATTTATTAAATTATGCACCCACCAATTCTAAAATGTAATTTTTTTTTTATTTTTTATTTTTTTTCTTCATAGTGGTGTTTTTAAATTAGTTGCATTCTGAGTTGCCTTTCTACAGACTATACATATCAAAATAGTCCTACCCTAATGAAAAAGGACATTCATTAATTTGGTGGGCAAACCATAAAGTTTGCCTTTCACAAAAGATTTCTAAGTTGAAAACTTTAGTGAATAAAATACCAGAGAAATTTATATAGACATGCAATGTCTTGTCTTCAATAATCAATTGCTTTCATATCTCTGTCTCCACACAAAACAAAGTGCACACTAGTCAAAAAGAGGATATACTGCATTCACTTTGTGCAAAACAGTTCGGTCCAACACATTGAAATTTTCATTGCTGATGAAGTCAGTGAACAAAACCAGGTAAAAAAAAAGTCATGGATAAAAGTCACAGGACGATGTTAGCACTGTTTCTGTGTCTTTAATCATGTCTTTTATTTTTTTAAACTCTTTTTAACCCTAACCCTATTCTAATCATATATATATATATAAAAACTGATTTAAAATATGGTTTCTTCACGAAGTAACCCTATTTTAAATCAGTTAATTTATAATATTTATGCTCTGTAAATTTACATTGAGCACTGTTTTGTAAAAATAAAAATATCAATAAAGACGCCGGCTTATATATCTTACTGTCTGTTTTGTTATTGCCGTGATAAAATGGAACAAAGTTTTATTAATACATAAGAAAAAGTTATGTGCTGAGAGACATTGAAATGACAAGGGTTAATACCAAAACCCATGGGAAGAATTGAGAATTAATTCACACATGAACGACTTGATTTGTATGTCAAGCATTTTGAACAATGGAAAAGTGACCCAGACTTAGTGGGCAATGTGGAGTGGAAAGCGAAAAACTAGATTTTGTAAGCAACTGAATTTGGAACTGAGTTTTCCTCGATGGAAAATGGTCAAGCTAGCAGGTGCAGATAAGATATCAAGGAGGATGGAGGAGCCACCAGTGCTCACTGAAGGGGTTGGTGAGAGTGGATAATATGAGAGTGGAAGAAGGGAATTCCCCAGAATTATTGAATTCTCTTACTTCACCAATTTGGACGAATGTCAATAAATAAGAATGCACAAAGTGGATTTGGCAGAAGAGACAGAGACAAGTCCAGAGACAGGAGTGAGGCCGATGAGATTATCCGCTGACAAAAGCCTCCAACTTCAGCCTTGTGCCAAACTTTACCAAAGCAGCAAACCAAACTTTGCCAAGTCAACAATGATAATATCACTTCTGATTTAGATGCAAATTGGGCTGATAATTAATTGCATGCGAACTCTGGTATAACCAATTATTGCATGAAGGACTGATATAAAAATAGTATTTACTTATGTTCAGTTTATTCGCATGTTATTTTTTTTCTGTACATCATTACCCTGCTTGGACCAACACAAAGATACCTGAGATGATTCAATCCTGGCTGCCTTATGATCAACCTTAAATCACAACGTGTGATAGGGTTAGCTTGGGATTGAAGTGGTCACTTCAGTAACCAGCTATGGTGTTAGAAGTCTTGGATGACCGGGAGGGTGTACAATTATATATATATATATATATATATATATATATATATATATATATACATACACACACACACACACATATTCCCCTATTTGTTCCCACTTAGTGTCTTTATGTAGCATTCTCAGACAGAAAACATAACTTTCAGGTGAGATGGGGTGGGTGGACTAATTATTCTACACTCTTTAGCTAGATGGAAAAGTGTAATACTGATAAATACAATCAGAATAATTTGGTATAGATTCTTATGTAACCAACAATTTCTAGAGAATTTTTATACCTAATTTTAATTTTGATTCAGAATAAATGCCATGATACATTTTGTTCTTTAGCCTGTAGAACATCGACATTTGAAAAAATCATAATTACACTGATTTTGCACATCTCACAAAGGAGTTATATATTTATTTATACTTTTAATATAAGCTAAATAGCATCATTCATGTGGGAAAAATTGTGAAAATGGCTTACCTTGGAAACGCCTGCAAATCTGTGCGGTGTGCAAACTCCGGTTCTCCCAACGGTAAAAGGAACCAAAATGGCGGCACCCATATTTTATGCTGGGCGGTCTCTGTTAGTTAACGCAAAATCTCGTCTCATCGTTTGCATGCAAATCGTGGTCAGCCCTCGGCTGTATAAAGCAGGCGCGTTTTGCTGTTTCAGATCAGAGAGCTTTCGGCTTGTGAGAAGGTTGGACGTGTGACACGGGGGGTTTTTGGTCACCCCCCTTTCACGGTTTTCTTTGTTCCTATCATCAGTTGAGTTGTTGCGTTACCTCCCACAATTCATCGACTAAGAATATTGGTTATTAGCTCTGATCCTAGATGTTGCCATGGAAACCCAAGATAAGTGCTTGTCCTCTTCTGCCTACTATTAACAGTTCATAACTAATATTACCTTGTATCCACACATTCTTCTAATAACAGATAGTATTTTTCAATAAGTAACTTTTCAGTGCTATAAAGTGTCAACAATTATCAGAATTTGTAAACAAGTTTTGGGCAATAAATTTGCAAGTATCTGTTTGTGCAAAAAGAAAATAGTCAAAGAAAGCTGTGAACCAATTCATTTCATTAACTATTTAAAAGAAACTAAGCAAGAAACTTATGGTGAGAAAAGTCATAGCATATTTGCATGTTTATTGCCATAATAAAACCGTAGTGGCACTATCCTATAATGATTTTCTAAGCATAGATTAGATGTGGCACAAGGCTGAAAGTATGGGTTGAACTCACTACTCGGTCATAATTGTTCTAGTGATTCAAGCTTGCTAACTATTGCATCATCTCAAGGTGCCCCCTATTTTATTATGTTATATTTGCACACAATAAATATAATATCTATTATGGGGTAGAAGTAGTATAATTTTTCCTTTGTAACACAAACTTTAAAGAAAAATAAACTGATTAGTTTTCTGTATTTTATATGCACTTTAGTAATAAAGTGGAATGTTTAATTGTTTTCCATCTAATGCAGTAGAATGACCATTCCATGTATCTGACATTTCTATGAGTATTTTAATTTCACTTTTTTCTTTTGTTTTTATAGGTTCTCTTTTTTGCAGGAGGTTGGGTATTTTTTCTCAAACAATTGTTTAAAGATTATGAGGTAAGTAAACTAGTGTAGTGACTTTTAAGTGATAAACTTTGTAGTAAAGATAGGCATTTTTTTAATCAATCATTTAGTTTTTATTATTGTTATAATTTTTTGTATCAGTTCATTAGAAGACACAAAAAATCTTGTAACTCTTTACTACATCTGATTTATGCCACAATGCTGTGTAGTTAACAAAGGAATACCACAGCTTGCATACAAAGAAAACAAGTCATTCAACATGATAATAACACTTTTACAATATGACCTAATTAGTTAGCCAAAAACATCACATGGCTCACCGAAATAATTATAAGCAGAACAAGCTCATTAAAAAGACTGAATATGAAGAAAAACATATATAACAGATTAACTGAAAATAGAAGAGAATTTGAAAAAACATGTGAACCCACATTATATTTATTAGTCTGAGTTAATAACATGATAACAAATCTTATATGCTATTGTTTGGTTTACAGCAGACTTATATATAAAAATTGGATTTATAATTATGTTATCCATTTTGGTATCATTTATCATATGTTTGGTTTCAGTTTTAAAAAATAATATTTTTAGCAGCTCATTAGAATATCTTAGAGGATTCGATGTTGTAATTAGAATTAGATAAATTTACACAATAATTACAGAAGTGCTCAGTCAGCTGACTATTAGACAGGAACTTGTAATGCCATTGTAGTCAGAAGAAAACTGGGGATAGATATTTGTATATTTAATTGTAAATAACAATTCACTCTGTGGAATGACCTTAGTTCATCAAGATATCTCAAAGTTGATATGGCATGATACCTATATATTACAAGGTTTATTGAGGCATACATAAAGCAGGTATTTATTGAATGGGCAGAAGTACCTACTTTTAATAGAACATCTCAATCTAGGTAAAGTAGTAATGTGGTCAATCTGACTTTAGCTAGATAAACATAAGTATTAGCAATGAGTAAATTACTCAAAAGAGTAAAAGAACAAAACTGATGTCCAGAAATAAATTAAAATTAGACCTTACAAATTCCTGACCAATGGTCTGCTGACTGAACACACTGTTATAATAATAATAATAATAATATATACTATCATATTTTATCATGTAAGTTAATGTTTTCAGAGTAAATTTGGTATTAACCAACCAATATTGATAAAATTTTGAAGATATACATATATATTTATCTGAGCAATATATCATGGGAATTTCATCTTATAATATCTATCCTTATTAAAAATATTGATATTTTTTTTAGGATGTCAGGTTTTATTATGCAGACATTAATTTTTCTTAATAAATAAATCCAAAATATATAGGCTTTTAACATTTTATTAATACAATATTTCATATAACTGAAAAAGAAAAAACAAATTAACTCCTTCATATTCATCAATAATTGTTTTTAATTTTTCTACTATTCCAACTTTAACATGCAACAGTTTCTATTACTTCCCAGAAATTATCTTGCAATGAATTCTGAATTTGATTATCTGAACCAAAATGAAACAATGCAATGCATGTAAGGAATTCTTATAATGCTACTGCATGATGAATATACACAAATTCAGCGGGTATTAATGACTTGTTGACTGTCCACAGCTGTTAAGAAAAGAAAATGATTGTGTTAGTCAATGACTGTGGTCTATGGTATACCCCATGTTCCTTGATTGTCTGTGTTTTTTCCCAATTTGAAGTAGTTCTTTTTCTTTTCTTTGTGGTGAACCCATTTTGAAGTCTCACCTTGTGTCTTCAGTGCAGAACTTGTCTACTTGCAAGAACACATCTTTGTTTGAATTTTTTTTCCACTCTCATTTAATGATGGACACAAGTTTTTAATAGGATTAATATCTGGATAGATTGGGGGCCATTCCATTACTTTGGTGTTTTTTGAAACTTTTTTTTTTTTTTTTTGCAAGGAGGGCAATAGCTATATTGAATGTGAAGTAGCATTTTTTTTTTTGTATGAATGTGCTCTTTAGCTAAAAGCTTCTTGTCTAGAAAGTTGCAATAATTTTGTACATCTATCTTGACACCATTATAACTTATTAACTTATAATTTTAATTAATACCTACATCATTAGTCCAGTCTCCCTGTTGTTGTTTCTAAATTATGTTGGTCAATCATTTCCATGAAGGATCTAACCTTTAGCTCAGCCATCAGATTCACTTAATGTATCTCATCAGTAAAAATGACTGTTGAAAAATCAGCTTTCATATACTTCATCCAACTCATATGTTTCTCTTTGTGATATTTACTTAAAGGTAGTAGTTTGATTGTTTTCATGTCTTTAACCAATATTCTTAATTTTCTCCATTTTTTTTTTTTTTTTTTTACTTGTATTTGTAGTAAAAGATTCAAACATTTTCTTGCTGGTCAATCCACTTTTTTTTTTCTTTTTTTGCTTATTTCCCTTAATTTCGTTTTTCTCAAATCTCTTTGTGTGATATTTTTAAAGTTATTTTTTTCTTGATCTTAATGTTTTTGATTTCTTTTTTAATTGTTATATGATCTCTCAAGTTTTTTCAATTTTTTCTTTTGTGGTTATGTTTTTCTTATGGCTATGTTAAATTATATATCTGAAATTAAAAAGAAAATATCTATAATATTTGATATATACATACACATAATGTGAACAGCCATTGCATGATAAAATTTCACAACAAAAAATTATTATTGATATTTTTTGGCCTTATGTCAAACTAAATTGAAGTTAATAAATATCTATATCTGACTTAGTTTATTTTTTTCTGTTTCAGGTTCATCGGTCAGAGATCCTTTTGGTCTTCTCCATTACTTTCTCCTTATCATGTACAATGTTTGAACTGATCATCTTTGAAATTCTAGGAATTTTAGATGCAAGGTAAAGATGTGTTTATCATTTTTTAAGTTTTTCTTTGTTCCACATAACAAATTAAATGTATTGGTAAACTTTACTATTTGGTTGGCCAAAAAGTTTGTTTTGCTTTTGTTATGAAATGGCATTAGAAGCATTTAATTTTTAACTTTACACAAAAAGATCACTTTTGATTGTTTTCTGACAGCTATCATATCAGCATACATTTAAAAAAAAAGGAAACAAAATTTAAAGATTATAGTATTTTTGTTGATTCTAAGATTTGAAAATGAAAGAAAATAACATTATCAGCTAATTATGCTTTCTTATTTTAAGAAAAGTAAAATATAACTCAAGTTCAAAATAATTGTGCAGAAGGTACTTTAAATGATCAAATATATAAAAGGTAGTTTGAAAACATTCATACTGAAACTTTCTCAGTGAACTACAATTGGGTAGATAAAGTGAGATTGATAGAAATCAAATCAATATCTTAATCAGCATTATATGATACAAGAGATAAAAAACTTACTCTGAATATCCAAATCAAACATTAAAAATGATTTGCACCATCTTGGTTATGTTGGTTCCTTTTGATGTGTGATTTCCATATAAGTAAGTCCATTGAGCCATAACTATATTTTTTAAAGTAATGAAATGTGGATACCTAGACTAATGGGACAAGAAAAATGAACCACCAATTTCCATACTAAAAACTGATTTCCCTCCAAATGTTATGCTGTGTATATATTGGAATTGATTCAAACAAGTACTGTTCTCAAATCAAATGAAAGTAACAATTGATGAAAAGCATTCATAATTAAAAGAAAGAGCATACATAATATGCCATCAGAATAACACATGACATGTTTTTTTGGTGAACAGGCAAAAATTGTTTCAATTTGACTTGAAGTTTTCACTTGACTTTTGTATTCATTAGGTATTATCATTTTGGATTACCATTTACTCTAATCTTTACAGAATTCTAATAATGAGAAAAAATGTTATTCCTTGGAAGATTGTAAAAGGTGCCTAGAGAATTTACTGAGAAAGCTAAGTTTTGGGATCATGGAATTAAAATGTGACTGAAAGATGACAGAAAATAGTGGAACACAATGGTAAATGTGTTCAATAAAGTTAATGTCAAGAATAAAAAATTCTTTTAATTTTACTCAAACTGACTGAACTTTTTATGTTATCTAATATTTAATGTAGCCATCATGCCAAAAAGGACCCACTGGAACAGGGCAGTTGTCTCTCATCGTCTTTGTCGGCTCTCTCAGCCCCATCTGCCAAAGCCTTCAGACACACTCATTTTATAGACCATGATGAAGCAGCCAATTGGTTGAGTGGGAGAGTTTTACATATGCATAGCTGCACTCTGCCAATTCTCCATTCTTCCAACTGCTCTGCAACACCATACACATGTAATGCATGGGTATTTTCAGGCATGATGTCACGTATCTTGCTCACAACAATCACACTCCTCCCTGATCTGAGGATCACACAAATGGCAGTGTGGTGTGGGTCGTTTTATCCTGCTACTTTGTCTCAGTAGAACGGTCTCAGCTATTTCCTCAGTTGTACTTTCCTCTGCCATATTGCTGAGTTGATCTCGTTCGAGAATGCCACTTGCACTTTCCGTTGAAGTTGTGTCTTCCTACATCTGCCCCTCATACACCGTAGAGATTTCTTCATCTGAGGTGGTGTCATGGCTGCTGGTAGTCTCCACCCCACACACCGGGTGAACATCTTTTACATGTCGTGGTACTCTGTCTACAAGGACTGAATGAGGGCCATAGACTTTCATCACTTTCCCTTCTCAAACCTTGTTGTGCACCACCCATGCGGTCTCTTCACCCAAACAACATCTCCTGTAGTGTATGTTCCAGAACCTGCGACATTAGGTGGTGGTGTGGTATCAGTACCCTTCACACGTGTGGTATGTATAAATTAAGTTGGCTGGCACTGTTGAAGCAATGGTGTCGTCCTGTGATGTCACATTATGCCAGTATACTGCCTCCATAAGAGAGCATTGTGTTCTCGTGACAATGTGCTTTATTGTGCAGTGGGACCTTTCTACTATCCCATTCCCCGATGGTATGTGGGCGCATTGGTATCTTATCCGGACACCCCATTCCTTTACAAATCTTGTGAATCTTTCCCCACAAAACACTGCAGCATTGTCGGCAAGCAGTTCAATCGGCGTTCCTCTTTCAAAAAAGATTGTCTCCAACTGCTGAATGTTATTGGTGGAATTTTGGTGCTGCAATGGCCTCCAAATGGCAAACCGACTAGGACCACAGTCTATCAGCATTAGGTAGTGCTGGTCCCTGAAATGGATCACATCCATTCCCTCTCTGCTCCAATTGTTGCGTACAGAAAACCTGCCTGGCTTCCAATGCACCCAGGCAGGATCTGTGGATTGATATTCCCTACAATCCCTGACTACCACCCGAACAGCTGCTCTGGAAACTCCGGGGATGACCAATTTTGCAAAGTACAGTGTGTGCTTCACACCGGAGTGTCCACTAAACTGATGAATGGCTTGTATATGAGCAGACTCCTCACCTTCTGCAGCCACAGCGCATGCTCATTCTACAGGTTCTGTCTCTTTCTGAATATCATCCAGCCATCACTGAAGCACTCTAGTGAGCTGATCAGCCCAGTTATCATGAAACTTAACCAATGCCACGTCAATCTTCAGCACATATTCTGAGGCCAGATGTTGAAGCATGCCGAGCCGGTGCCTGACCAGCATCTCGGTGGCAACCTTGGTTCGTACTCTCGACTTTCCGGATGTGTCTCAGACCCAGCGATGCACACATGCCGTCTGTCTTCAGGTGAATCACCTTTGCATTCCACTGCAGTGCAAGGTTGATGCTCCGCAGCACTGCATCGAGTTCTGCCAAGTTGATGTGCTTATTATCACTCATTGGTCGCAGCTAAATAGCATCTTCAGCCACGGCTCCACCACTCTCACCAGTGGCTAATGAGCTTGTGTCCACCTATACAGTGACGTCCTGTCCATCAACGCACCAGTCTCCATGCACTGGATCTGTTTGTGCCACTCTGGCAAAAACGTCCGCCAACATCCAGCTCAGGAGGTGGTCTCGTACTTTATTGTCCCATCCAGTTATCATGGCATTTGCTCTACGTTTTATGAACACGGTCGCAACACGTAGCCAGCTGCACACTGAAAAATACCCATCAATTTCTCACACACAGAGAAAATATTTTGATGTGTTAGTACATTGGGCAATGTTGGCAGCTTACTTCCACGGCTCCACTGAAGCTTGCTGCGCTCCTCCCAGACATGCAATCCTAACACACTGTAACTGCTTTGGGACCTTGCATATAAGCCCAAATCTCTCAAGGTTCTCTTTTATGCGGGATGCAGAACATATGTTCTCATTGACGAATACATCATCAATGCATAAAGATGTAGCTTCGTTAATGTTCTCATCTTGCACAACCACGGTGTTAACAATGGACCACATTATCAAGGGTGCCATCAAACCCCAAGCAAGTTACCCTTGATTTCTACTGTCTGGAATGGCACAAGGACTTCTCAACATGAACTTGCAAATAAGCCCGACGCAAGTCCAACACATTGATGTCTGAACCTTGCTGCCGCCTCACTCTCAATTTGTGTGCACATACATCTGCGCTGGCAGTGTATGATCTACATGCTCATTGAGCTCGCGGTAGTCCATGACAGGCCAAACCTTTTGTTTGTTTTCCTGTAGGACAGCCATTACAGGAATCAGACCCTTTGGGGGCCCAAGCTCGTCTTCGGGGTATGGAAGCAGCCAGCCATTTTGTATCCAAGTTTGCAGCTCTCGGTTGTACTCAGCCCGAAGGTGCTAGTCATGGAAATCCCACCCATCTGTTTGATTGCGTCCAGTCTAAGCAACGTCAAATCCAAGTAATTCCTTGTCCACAACCAGAGCTTCTATGTCAATAGAAGGTCTGTTGCTTATGCCAAGCCGGACCCCCCGACTCCACAGCAACTAAGGGTATTCCCACCTACAGTCAGGAGGTGTACCTCCTTTCTCTCCCACACCTGGCAACATGTTTTGCATATGGGTGTTTGGGTACAACCAGTGTCCACAAGAGCCATGCACCTCATTCCATCAATCTGTACAGTCATTGTAGATAGCACTCTATTTAAAGAGAATCTGGGGATAAGGCTGGTGCCGAAGCCTCATCCTCTGCTTGTTTCCTGGAGAGTTTCAAGTCATATGTCCCCGCCGCTTACACTGATAGCACGAGACCGGTCTTCAGGGTCCAGTATTCTCTTTCCTTGATGTTTCACATTGTGAGAGACAGTCGCATGCCAAGTGATTGATGCAAACATAGCATTTTATCGGTGCATCAACATCCTTCGCCTGACAACGCGATGATCGTGCAGCTACTGCTACTTGCTCAATATCTACAGGACTTTTCAGTATGGCACGTGCTCAAGCTAGCACTTGTGAATTGTCCATATTGTCTAACTGGGAAGGGGCTCAGAGCAATTCCTCGGCATGCTCTGGTAACCCGATGATAAACGCACACATCAGACTTCTATCCATCATTCCACCAACCAGAACTAAAAGTTTACGCAATTCAACCAAAAAGACATCGACAGTCTCACCCGGGTGCAAGCGGCATGCTACAAATTGCTTCCAAGCTGTAACAGAGTCCAGAGCAAATGCTGCATACAAAGCAGCTAAAGTCTTTCTTCTTTTCTTGGCTTAGCTGCTGGTACACTGCATATGCACCACCTGATAGACACATAGGAACCACACATTCAATACGCTCTATGCCACTAAGCTGGCATATCAATTCTGCCTTCTCTATCCACTCGATAACTGACTGTTCAGAATCACTTCCATCAAATAGCTGTATCAGTTTAGGATCAAAAGCCATAATTGCTGAAATAGCCAAAAAGGACCCACTGGAACAGGGCAGTCGTCTCTCATACAGAGCAGTCATCTCTTGTTGTCTTCATCAGCTCCCTTGGCCCCAACTGCCAAAGCCTTCAGACACACCCATTTTATAGACCATGACGAAGCAGCCAATTGGTTGAATGAGAGAGTTTTACATATGCGTAGGCGCACTCCACCAATTCTCCCTTCCTCCAACTGCTCTGCATGGGCATTTTCAGGCATGATGTCACGTATCTTGCTCACAACAATCACATTTAACTTAAGATTAAAATTTATGCAATGTATTTTTAGTTTTGTTGGCATTTTGATGACTTGATCAAAAGTTCTTCAGTTTGTATCACTTTAATTTTATAGTTTATTTAACTAATTTTTTAATCCTTATAAAATTGTAAATGCTGAACAGTAAATTAGACTGAAGTCTGAGTATTTATTGTAAAGGACTTACAGATTACACATTATGAAAGCAATAGGTACAGTTTTGATAAAAATAATACTGAAATTAATTTTATTGGGGATATTGTTGGTTTTAAGCCCAGGAAAATAATGAATGCAAAAAGTAATTATCTTAAAATTATTTTAATTCTGATAATGGTGTATTATTTTTCACTATAAAAATTGTCTCATGATGCCATCATATGAAGTTTTATCTATTGACAGATATTACAATCTTTATCTTTTGGTTTTTATGCTTTATCAGCAGACAAATGAATAATTAAAATTTATCCTCCTTGAATACATCACATTCATAAGTAATAAAAAAAATTGAAGATTATTAGATTTGAACCTGAATGAGACTTTGTAACTATATCTCTCTATCCACCCATGCATACATACCAGGTAAATGATCAAGACTAGATACAGTGAGAGTAAAGCAGTTCCTTAGTATTTATGATTTGCTTTGCTTAATGAAGCAATACATAATAAAATTTGATCTGCATAACGTTTTATCATAAGAAATGTTTATTGTATGATTTTGTTATATAAAATGTTTTATTGTCATTATTCAAGTTTCAGTGTCAGCAATATCAGTCTTTATCTGTTGGTATCATATAGAAAAATAAATTTCATTTGTTTCTGGAAAATTTCCAATAAAAAAATACTATTAAAGAATAGAAAATATGTTTCTTGAGAAAAAATTGTTCTCTGAAATTGCTTATTTTACTTGCCCAAACAAAAAAAAGAGAAATTGTAGTCTTACACTGAACAGTTACAATGATTTTTACTGTTAAAGAGAAATCCATATAACACCTACTCTCTACATGATGCCAAATTTGAGGACTGTACCTGAAATGTCTAGTCAACAAAATGTATATTCATATGTATTATATTATTTTATAAAAGATAACAGAAAGTCTTTTGTGCTTGTATTTAATCCAACTCAAACATTAGGCCACAGATTGTATGGAGACAACCTTTATAGAAGACATATAATCATTTAATGTGTCATCTATAAGGTGTCTAAGTTTCAGAGCCATACAAAAGAGTTGACAAAACAACAGCTCTGTACACTTGGATTTTAGTGCAAAGCTTTATTCCTCTTTCGTCCCACAACCTATGATGCAGCAAACCAAAGGAAGTACTAGCTTTGTGAAATGTGATTAACAATCTCGTCATCAAGTGATGTACTTTGAATTTACCATGCTCCCAACGTATTTGAAAGATTCCACATACTTGAGATTCTTTCCATCAACTTTCAAAGGGACCTCAGGAAACTTACGAACAGGTTTACACTTCTAACATGCTTTGGTGTTGGGCAAAGTTGAAGAACAACTTCAGTTTTCTTAATGCTGATAGTAAGTTCGAATCCCTTGCATGCCGCAGAAAAATGGTTGAGTAAATCTTGAGCTTCCTCTAAGGACTTAGCTACAAGGTCAGTGTTGTCTGCAAAAAGTAGATCGCGTATAATACTGGTACATAGAAATGTTTTGGATTTAAACCATCGATGGTTAAACAGTTCGCCATTAGTTAAAAAATGAATGAAAATGAAAACATATATATATATATATATATATATCACTAAAGTAGCCTCATTAAATTTTCTCTACCAAAACAATTCCCTCAATTTCTTAATACCAACCTCTTTACTATTATGTGATTCCTAGAAATATTAATAGCAGATTCAGAACCAAGTAAACTTACAAAATTTAAACATTGAGGATCTTTATACATTTAAAAAATAGTTCAGAGGCTAGAACAGCAGATTAGTGATAAATGATTTGAAATTCAAACAAAAAAGCTTCTTTTCTTTAATTTTTTTTACTATTTGTAAAATTTGCAAAATCTATTCTGTTAAGGGATGAATCTATTGCATTTAATTTTAACTTGTTTCCTTTAGTTAACAATTAACACAATTAGCTTTCTCTGTATGAAATCTAATTGTGTGTTTTCAAAACAAGATCTATTTTTGTACATTTGACTTTATAATTATTATTATTTATTTCTTGATATTTATCTTATTTATTGTTTATTTTCAGTTCCAGATACTTTCATTGGAAACTGGGTCTCTATGCCATTTTATTTGTTCTGATTGCTATTTTGCCTATGCATATAGCCTATTATATAGTGTGCACCATCCGACTAGGTAAGTCAGATTTATAGCACCATGCTGAAATTATAGGTGTGGCTGTATGTTGGTTAAGTGCAATGCAAGATGTTAATGTCATCAAATGTAGGAGACAATCTCATCTGGCTGACTGATTAGAAAAGTAGGTGAATAGCATTGCACTCTCATCTGCCTATTTTCTCTTTCACGTCTTAATCTGAAAATATAGTTTTCTTTGTTTATTGGCATTTCATTTTCATTCTAGCTCAATATTATAGTACAATAAATGCTATCCCACAATTCAGATGATTTACACAACCACTATAATATTTCAACCATCATTTTAGAGAAAGTTTTAAGTTTTAGTTTTCATTTATTACAAAGTTGCTGAGATGTGTTTTATGATTTAGCTGTGTAAAGTCAAATTGCATTTAAGTTTGCTTGTGCACTTTTATATGTATTAAGAAGGAGATGATGAGCAAGTATCTCATGCAGAATAATAGATTGATGTGTTTTATCAGGACTTCTAGCATAATTACTAAATCAATAGCAAAAAGTGTTCACTATTACAACAGATGTTTATGAATGTTTAAATTATTCATTTTCATATGGGCATTTTATTCTTGACTTTTAATTCTTTTCCTGTCTTTCAATTCTGAAAACTTTTTTATGCCACTAATAAGGATTTTGTTTGAATTACCAGTGATATTTTCCTAACATATGATAAAACTTCATATACATAGAGATCTACTAGGTTATTCAAACATTTAAGAATTGTACCCAATCAAGTCATGAGTCGGATTTTAAATGTAAACATTAGTACGTTGTCTCCAGGTGTTAGGTGTTTCACTCCATCAATTTTGTGTTTTAAGTTTTTGATCTGAGGAAGTCTTAAGCATATCTAGATGAAATGTCCTTAGGCACAGAGAGGCTGAATTATAAGAGAAAAGTAACTTTCAGAATAGACTCTGTCCTGTAGAAACAATAAAATAGTTTATTTACTGAAGCTTACAGTTATTAATTTAATCTTCCTCAATTCTGCAGTACTGTCATCTAGCTAACTATAACCAGTTAGTAAGTTAGTTAAATGTCAGCATCATTCACCACATACCACAGAAACAATACCTCAAACTAGTGACTGGTAGTTGGTTCAACAATTCAATCAGAATTTTAGTTTTAAGGCTGCAAACAAAGCTGGTTTCTAAAACATAGTCTCCAACTCTTCTGCTAGATTCTGCAGCAGGAAAGTGCCTCTGCCAAGATGTCAGATCAGGACTGATAACTTTACTGATTCTTCTTTGGTATTTATCAAATATCTTTAGATATATAGCAGGAGCACCAGATTAGATGTGGCAGCAATGTTCAGTGAACAGATGAATGGTAGATTTATAAATATACAAGATGGATTCTGGCAAGAAAAATTGAGGTATCTTTGTATGGGCTGAGCTGGGATCGATTTCATTTATCAAAAAAACCTTAATTTAATAAATTTCCAAGCTTCTCCAGATTTGATTGTTCAAAACCCTTTCCAGGTTCTCATAAATTTGTTGGTTGAAAAAAACTCTTACCACCACTCTTAGGGTGCATTCATACTGGCTATATCACCAACTAGATCTCCTCAGCAATTAATATTATCTGGTCAAATTATAATTTTCCCTGGTATCCATTTTCTATCCACTTACACAAATATGAACCTTACTGTCTTTTCATTAATTACCTGTCTATCTTGCAGACAAATAATGAATGTTCCACAAACAATGACCCATTATTTTGTCTTTGTCAACATCTTAAGTTATTTTAAAATCTCACTTTCTGCTGTTCAAAATGACAAATTCTCAACCCCAGAATATTTCTAGTATAACCCCTGGCAAAAATTATGAAATTAACACACACAGATGATGTTTAATTTGTTTTTTGATTTAGCAGCAAATAAACTAATAATAAAAAATTTTCCATTTAATATCTAAACATTTTGGCTTTATAAAATATACCTTAAACAAACTAGAATAAATTACTTAAATTAATGGTATAAATTTTTCAAACCATGTGGAGGAATCATGGAATAACCCAACATTGAGGAAAAAATTACAGAATTCATTGACAAAAATATTAGAAAATAATTAGTTGCTCTTCTTCAAACTTTTGTCACTATTAATTCTTTCAGACAGGAATTTCACTAATTTGCTAGTAAAACCCAAAGTAACTAACTTTGCTATCTAAGTTTTTCCTAATAACAAATTAACCATATTTCAACTGACCACCATGTGTAAGTTCACTTACTTGTAAAATCCATACCAGTTACAAATATTTGAAAGGTGAATTCACATTTTTCAAAGAAATCAGTCTATATGAAATACATCTAAAAATTTGAAAATGCATTATGTATTCAAATATAAATAATTCAAATAATTATTTCTAATATCTAATAATTCTGTTATTTTTAATGTGTAGAACAATGAATATATATTAAGCCAAACAATTATAGTGAATAAAAAAAATCATCACAGTTGATATAAAATAGACACATCAGTGGTTTACATCAAAAAATTAATCAAATGAATATTTAATTTATCAAAGTAATAAAGGAGTGCTGAAATTTCCAGATTTCAAAACTCATTTTGATAAATCTTGAGGATTTTTATCTGAATTTATTAACATTTACAATTCTATCATCTTTTTAAGTTCAGAACTGTAATTTCTGATACTTGAACTTAATTATGAATGATGAACAACACTTAGCTTAGAAACCAAAGCCAAATGTACATCTTTTGGCATAATAATGGCAAAGTGAAGTTGAGAATTTGTCTGCAGCAGTCTTGTTTGTGTTCTTCTTTTGGCAGGGTGCCTTCTTAGCACAGATTTTATTTTGGAAAACTTCCAAATTCAAACTAGATATATTTATTTACCTTTCTATGTCGCATTTCTTTTTTTCTTTCTGGTACCTTTTGAAGATTAGAAAATATCTAGTGGTAGCAGTGGATATATATTGCATGTACTTACTGATCTTTTAGGGTATTTCTAATTAAAGATGTTATTTGATTATTTTTTCTAAATGAAATATTCCAACAGATTAAGTTGGTGGATAGTTTGTCAGATGATTCATCCAACAGCATGTCCTCTTTCCAAGAATGTTGATAAACAATCTTGTCTGCTTATACATAAATCATGAAAATTTTAATGGTTAATGGTTTTTAATCACTTGTGATTTTTGCTCTCAATTTTTTTTGTGTGTATGTGTGTGTCTGTGTGTATTGATCCTGATTTTAGCACTTGTTTATGTATATTTTAAATATATAAATGAAAATTTTAAGAAAGATGCTTACTTTAGTAACTACAAACATCTTTTTTAACTTTATTCTCTACAAAAGATCCTAAAGAAAGCATTATTATCATCTACATTTATTAACTAAAAAAATAGCTTTTGTTGCATACTTGGACAGAGTATTGTATTATCTGCATCCTGGTTTTGGTATTATGAAAATAGTTAGGAATAAAAGTAATATAGTTCTTGGAATTTAGAATTAGATGAATAGTGTATAAAATACAGCCAGTCCATCCATATCCATAGTGTTAACCAACTGCAGATCAAAAATATTAAAAAAAAAAAAAAGTTTCAAAAAGCAAAACCTAATTTTACCACACACCAAGCATTAAACTAAATCCACACATGTTATATGTAGGCATACTCAGCTGTAGTCTCCTACTATTTCACTCATATTTTAAGTATTGTCTTGTGTGTCTTCTCTATTATGTATTGTGCACACATTTTTTTTTATTGTTTTTTTCTTAGAAATTTGAAATGGAAAATATATTCCTTTATTAAATAAGTACTGAAAATTTAATTAATTCAAATAATTGAGGAGTTTTTCATCTAAAAAATTCTAATGCAAATTATAATTTATACATAAATTATTTTCATGTTCTATAGTTTTTACAGATAATTTATGTCAGAATTTTCTCCACACTTTCCTTACTCATGTCACAAAGATCTTGATGAATAAATTTACTTTTATGTGAATTTCTTTTCCTTGAATGTTAATTTCCTACTAAAATATTTTGAAGTTATTAATTAATGTTGATTATTTTCTTTGTTGTTTTGATACTTAATCATTTTTTTAATTTTGGTATTTTAAAAAACTTGTAAAAGAATTAGAATTGCTTTTGTTGTTTCTTCACTCTATTTATTTTGAAAGCTTCTTATTTTTAAAGGAGTACAGTTTGATCTGTAAAAGCAAGTGTCAATTATCAGTGTAGTGAGTTTTGTTGTCTGAATAAGTTTACATTGTTTCATGCACAGGATTTTAATTGCTAATTTTCAGTGCAAGAAGGCTTTTCTTGTATGAAAGATCTGTATATCCTCATCTTTTTTCCTGCATTAGACTCAGCTTAATTTAGTAAATATCTGACTTTTCATTAACTTATTCTGATTGGACATGAAAGGACTTATTTTAATACGAAACAGTTTTATGCACATTTATAAAAACAGATAAATTTTGTAATACATAGAAAAAGAATATTGCTGAAATATATTGGCTAAGATTTTCATGGAAAATAACAAACTGAAGTGCCAAACAAATTAAACAGCTCTTTCATTAACCTGAATAATATAATCCACTTAGCATACAAGGTGCTAAAGTTATTGCAAGAACATATCTATTCAGGCATATTTCAGGGCTGAGTTGTATTTATTGGATGTGGTTGCACAAAAGTTAGTGCGGTCAGTAATATGTGATATGCATGTTTAATGGAGGTTTAAATCTGAGTGTGGGCTTGAAGTGCAAAGGACTGCCTGCAAGTCAGTGTTCCTGGAACCAGTTTTATATCACCTAATGAGTTTTAAAACAAACCATCATCATCAAGCAGCATGATAAGCATGAAGGGATGAAAATAGTCTGAAAAAAAACTGTGCGCATCATACTTGTCAAGACAGACACCAATTTCACTAGTGGTGCTTGCAAACTTCAATAAAATACACTGCACACTATTACAGAGCCACCATCAGCTTGCACAGTATTCTGCTGATAGGCTGAATCTGTGGCCTCATAAAGACTTTTCCACATAGAAACTTTGCTACCTGCCCAATAGAGCTAATAATGTGACTCATCGAACCAAATTATACAGTCTTCCACTGTCTGCCATTGAACAGTGGTAGACACTGTTCACTGGTCCAGATGAGGTGCTGTAATCAATACTGTAGTACCGATAATGTTACCCTTGTTGGTCAATGACTACAAAACTACATGCAATTTAGTGAATGTTGTACAATGCATTGACTAAGGAAGTTGAGTGGTACCAGGGTTTGATGCAATGTTCTCCTTTGTTAGATGGTTACTACTGATGTCTGCGCATAATTCACCTTACCTGTGGAACTATCATCCAGCTTTTTACTTTTCTGTCAACTATGATATTCAAAAATTTCTTGTTTTTTATTGTCCTTTCTCCTCACTAACATTTTCTCATTTTCTTTCACTCTCAGTAACCACTTAATGGTTTTTTCATCTTATTTGGGATGAAAGATAAATAAATAACTTTGCTACTGTTGCCTGAGGAAAACTTTAAGGACTTGCCATTTTGGAGATAGTGCCCTATTGTTCTAACCCCAGTAGTCATTCCATGATTAGATGATGTTAAATTGTTTGTGTTCTTTGGTTTCTATAGTTACACTGGCTCTTTACATGTTACACCATGCATACATCATCTGGCCAAGTCCATTTCTACAAGTGGGGATGAACCATTCAGTATACAGCTGTTTGTAATTTTGTTGCACTCCAGTTTATTGCTTTTCAACATGGCTTTATCAAAACCTTTGTATACAAGTTTAGCATGTAAAATTATACATATATAGCCCCATTCTGTCAGTAATGTTTGTCTTAATTTGTGACCATACAATTTCTTGCTTTAATTCATAACTGACAGATTGAATGCTAAAATTTTGAAAACTCAGTGTTTAGTTATCATTTTCTTTTCCCTCCCTACCACCAGAAAACATTTAGTTTGTTAATGCTGAAAATTGAATGTGCAGTCAATGTTCCAGATAGTGGTACAGAATATGAAATCAGCAAATTGGGTTCAAATTCTGGCCTTGTCTGTTGTATTCACTTTTACACAAATACTCTTGAGAAATCCTGAATCTCTCTTCCTATCCTAGCTATGGGTTAAATAGTAGAGTAGACTGGGCTCTCTAGCCTAAGAATGCATAGCAAGTCACAGATAATAAGGAAAAGGAATCTGTGGAGAGCCATGATCACTACATCCTAAAGAGACATGGCATTAAAAACAAAAATTTAAAATGCACAAATATCTAAAGTCAAACAAAAGAATGGTAGAGTAATGGTAAAGTCAGTGAGTAACAGTGAGAAAAATCAAAACTTGTATAGTGAGTTCAAATGCAGTCTGCTCTACATAAAATTAACTATTTTTTAATTTCAAGAATTTTCTGTGTTATATTTTTTTATACTAATGTTTACCCAATACAAGACCCAAGAGCCACTCAAGATGGAGAGTTACTGTGTGGTGTCATATTAGCATAAAAAATGGCAAAAAGTGCAGTTCATGAGGTCATGTAGAAAAGACAGCCGTTAACCCTAGAGTTGAAGATTGTACATTGGAAAAATATCCTGCCAGGAGTCTGTTCCACAAAGCAGCAGTTCTTGGGAAGAAGCTGTCTGAATGGAACTTACTTGGAATATGAAATTTTAAAGTATATCAAGGGGAGTCAGATATTTACTAAAGTGGTGCAATGAACCAACCATTTTTACAGTATCTGTAGCAATAGATCATATATATTACACTTGAGGTCTGGGGTGATCTTGAATCCCAATAGGTGTTCATGACAAGGAGCCTCCATGCAAGAACACCCATCCATTATGGTAGGTGAATGTTCAGGTCTGATACAATGAATGCACATTTTAAATGTTGGTTTATTACAGATTACATAAACAGCTAGTAATTAAGTAAACTTTGCCAACAATTTGTACAAGTTTCTTATTTTATTTTTGCATCTTTCTAATAAAATTTAATAAGTATTCATTTTCCTTCAATTTTTCATTCTTATGATAAAATCTTTGATTATAAAGTTTTCAGGCTAATCTTCAGCATCTGTTTTTTAATTTCCTATAATCTTGAAATAATTGTAAATCTAATGCATTTTGGTATTATGTATTTTATTAGTTCATACAGATATTGATAGAAAACTTTTCTAAGGATTATTCTTATTTTACAGTTTAAAAAAAAATGATATTGTTCTACTAAAACAATCCATTTTATTTCATCAAGAACTTATAACTATGCTATATCAGCATTTAAAAATATTAGACTTTGAAACTGTTTTATTATTTATATACTTAATTCTCTGTTAGATTTTGAAAAATAAGGATTTAATCAATTATCAAAATTCATTCCATCATTGATATCCATTGATGTAAATAATTTTCTTGAAAGTTTATCTGTTAAAATGTTTACAAAGATAATTTAAATTAGTACAATAGATTATCTGTGTATTATAAATATATAAAGTCTACAGGCAATGTATATCGAGAAAAATTAAATAAAAAGATAAATTGTTGTTTAAATTGCACAAAAATGAAAATAATACTGATATCTCATTTTTTTAAAATTACACAAAAATATCTTGAAATACTAAAGTAAGTTTTTTTGAATAAAATCACCATTGGATTCAACCACTGCCTCCAAACAACTTTGGAATCTCTTGCAACTCTTCTGGACAGTCTCCTTGTTTAAGTTAGTGAATTCTTGCCTTCAGTTCATTTTTGGTATTACAAGGAGTTTTGTTGGTCTCTCATTCAACTACCCTCCCACAAGGAGGTTATTGTCTCTCACTCAACTACCCCTGCCAACAAGGAGGTTATTGTCTGGGAGTTAGGTAGCCAGATGTAAGGGGTGATGAGTTCTCCTGCTTGTGTGGCATGGTGTAGAGTCCTGTTGCCAGACATAGGGTCTTCCAACAGCCACCCTCTTGACCCAGGGCAGCACTATCTCTCTGGCTATTGACTTGGAGGGATCATTTTCAATCATGGTCTGGATCTCATCAACAAATTTGGGTGTTCTTTTCTTATCAGAATGATAAGAGTTTTCTGAGATGCCGTACCTTCATAATCATCAATAGACTCATCCAACTCTTTCTGAATCCTTTGATTGACACCCAAACATTCTGAATTATTCATATTTGGAGCTTTCTGAATTTCTAGCAGTGTGAATTGTGTGATGGTGCTCTTTTTCTCACAGACAGTGCTCAACTGACTCTACTATACTATGCAATTGACAAAATCAATAACAAAAACACGCATACACAAAATTAAAAATAAAATGGTGTCAACTTACCTTTCACACCCTGTATTTTATATTTTCTAATGACAAAAGAATTATAATGTTTTTTTTATTATACTATGCTATTGTTTCTATTTATTGCAGTGCCACAGAAGAAACATGCTCGCATGACTCTAACTGGAGTTGCATGGTGTATCTTTTTGTATTTTTTTTGGAAAATAGGTGATCCTTTTCCCATACTCAGTCCGAAACATGGTAAATAATAAATTCTGTAAAATTCTACATTTCCTTTCATATTAAACATTGTTAAAGCATAGAAATATTTTGTTTTCATTGTTAATCTGCATCATATTAGGTTATTTTCATGTCTCCTTTTTTGGCTTTTTAGTCATAATTGGATTAAATTATTATTTATTTTTGATTATCTTTTTTTCTTCATCTGGCTGTTGCCTTCTAACAAAACTTTCTCAGTTAAATAAACTCCAACTGTTTTGATGAAGCATTTATTAATTTTCTTTTTTTTAAAAAGCACTTTTTTTTCCATCTTATTCCTGAAAGACAAGCTCCAGAGATATGTAATGCAATTTAAAATCTTCTTGAAAACCAATTTATTGCTACTCCACATTACTTATTTTAATGCTTGGAGAGTATTTGAATGAAAAATTGTGCAGAAAAAAAAAACGAACAAAGTGATGAAGAAAAAACTAGTCAAAAATTAATAAATAAAAATGTTTCATATCAAAATTCAGAATAGTTTAAGACTAAGGATAATATTTGAATGTTAATATTAAGAGAACCAAAAATTGTATTTGATGTCATAATATAAAACTACTTTTCTTTAAAAATGAATGAAAAAAAATATCTTGAGTTTTATATTCAAAGTTATCTAGTAAGTTAATGTCTAACCAGATGCTGTAGACTGCCTGCATATGTGTCAAGTATAAATGCATAATACTGTAATAAATATAAACAGACAGGTGTATTATATGCAATCATATATAGTAGATATAGTTATGAACAAATTTTGTTATAGGTAGATCATTTCAGTGTGTTAATCAATTATTGATTGCTTACAAGCATCTTCTTTTCACTTACTATCATCCTATACAAATGCTTTAAAAAAATAACAATTATTCTTTATAATTATTCACAATTTTTTGCAGGTATTTTTTCCATTGAGCAGTGTATTGGGAGAGTTGGGGTCATTGGAGTCACCTTAATGGCTTTGCTGTCAGGTTTTGGTGCTGTGAACTGTCCATATACATACATGTCATATTTTGTCCGGTAGGCTATTTATGTATTTTTATTTAGACCTATCGCGTTTATTTCTTTTTCATACAAGTACCAATATTATTTGCTTTTATTTTGATTACAAGTTGAAATACCTATATGTCATTAAGAGGCTTATAAGAGGTAGCAAAAGTTTTTTGTTTATTATCTCTATTCTTTTAACTTTTTTCTGTGAAGATCATAAAAGTCCATTTTTTTGTCAGCAATTGACAAGTGGTTTATGTGTCCACCAGGGAGCATGGTAATTTATTTCTCACGTAATTCTCAAGATTATAGTTCTTGAATGTTGAATGACCACATCAGAAAATCTAACAATTTATTGACAGGGAATATTACAAAACTGTGTGTCAACTATGCATATAGGTAGCAAAAAAGTGATTTGAGAGTTTCTGAAGGTTAATTTTCTGATTGCTTCAATTCTCAGCATTTTAGCCGCTATCGATAATGTAGAAGTAGTTGCCATCCCATTCCTGCAGTGAGTCTGCAACAATGTCTGTGTAGCTGTTCCATCCACAGGATGTGTGTGCGTGTGCACCTGTTTTGAGCAACAGCAATTTTCTTAGCCTATTATTTCCAGTGACTCTCAAAATCAAGTCCTTCACCTGTTTATATAAGCAATTCCTCTGTGCATCCCTTTTCCCATTTTTGACATTTATTTATGTAAAAATTACCACCTTCATCTGGATTATTTAGATGTCTGTTGCCCAACAAAGACACATGGCCCCAGCAAAACAAGATTTCTTCAACTTTTAATGAGAAATACCTTATGGCTTAGCATCATAGTATTAAGAATTTGTCCCTCTTAGATCAGATTTCAGCTTGGAAATCTTAGCAAATATTTATCCTTTTCAGACCACTTTTGAGAAATTTCCAATTACTTTTCACCAAATTCATTCAGGGTTCAACTCTCAGATTCCTTGCAAATGCATTTTATATATCTGATGTAATTTTAACTTTCTGTTTCTTTTATCATTTTCCACCTAATTAAAATTTTAGATCTAGACAAATTGGTATGCTCTAACCAAAAAATGTCTAATAATTTTACTTGATATAAGAAATAATTTTTTTAGCCTTTCTTACAAATATTACAAAAACTCTCTCAAGAAAGTTAATTTTAATTGTTTTGTTATGTTTAATAGAAACTTTTCTTTCAAAGATTTTTTCCTTGATTCTGTTTTTACTCTGCAAAATTTATTTAAAAATGTCAGTATGTAACATTTTTCTCCACAACAACAAATAAAATCTTTTGAGTAACTTAGTAAAAGTATTTTTTTTAAAAACGTATGTTGAATTTTAGTTTAGGTTACCATTAAATAACATAAAAAAGAAGCAAATGCTTTATACTAAATAATTAGTGAAAAAGTCACTCATTAAGAATGTTACATACATACATAATTCAGTAAATTCAATATTTTTAGATATCATAAATGAGATGTATTAAACATCAATCCTAACTCTGCTACTAAACCACGCATTTTTAACAGCCACTTTTTTTCTAGATACTTCTCTGATCATAAAAAAGTATATTTATGGCAAAATAAGTTAGCATAGCAATAGTGAGTTTCTAAACAATAAAATAAAATGTTACTTTCAAATTTATTTTGTTTCATGTCCAGAATTTATAATTCCAATATAGTTTTTTGTTTCATTAAAGTAGTTTTAAGGTGGATATAATTCATTCAAATATTAAGATGCATATAACAAAGAATCAGTTCTAGAAGGTCTGAAACTTTCATTGGATTTTGTATAATGTATGTGAAAAGTAATGGTTTTATTTAACAAAATTTCAGTATGATGTGAATTATATCTTTTACCAGAAATTTTGGTTTCCTCTTTGTCTTCTTGATATTTGCCAGTGAACACACCAAAAATACATATTTTCATTTATTTAATTTTTTACTCCTACTAATGCTGCTGGTGAATATAGAACAATGACATGTATAGCAAAGAGTGATCAAGGAAAAATAGAGAATGAGTTTAAAGGTTAGATTTGAACTTCTACTAATCATAAAAGCTTTGGTATCTCAGTTCATAGTGTAGCTGTCATGTATAGGCCAGTTTTCCAAAGTAATAGGAGTGTGAATTTCAGTCTTATCAAGTGCTTCTTCTTTATTTCTGATCTATGCTGTTTATTCACTCCTATAAACTAATGATTTGAATAAGTTATGATGAAAAGAAGCACTGTCAGCAAAACTAGAAATGATTCTTAGTATCACACAATTTACTAATGTGATTTACTATTACTAATGTTTCTTAGAATTTCCTCTTTTCACTTTTAGTCTGCCTGTTATTTATTGCTTAAGGCATTTTTGATTAAAAAAAAATTTAATGAAAGCTGAATGAAAACATATTCTCAATTTTCATAAATAGGTACTTGTATAAATATTGGGATGTATTGAAATATTAATAATCAAATCTGTTTTCTAATCATCAGAAAAAGAATCACAAATTTTAGAACTTTTTTTATTATATAATTTTTCTTTTTTTTTTTTCATTGCAGATACATAACAGAAGCAGATATTCAATCTATAGAAAAGCGACTTATACAAACTATGGATATGATAGTCATGAAAAAGAAACGGTAAGATATACCAAGAGCCCTTTTCAAGGCCCGTAGGGTGCCTGGGGCCTCAGTTTGGGTCTCTCCTCTCATATTGTGCTTTAAGTTTTTGATCTGAGGAAGTCTTAGACAAAGCTGGTCAAAATATTCTCTGGAGTGAAGAGGGCAAGTTACAAGGTAAGTAAAGAAAAAAGTGACTTTCAGAAGAGACAGCAGATTCTTGCTTGTAGAACCACTAACACCGTTTGTTGGGAATTACAGATATCAAATTAACACTTCTCAATTCTACATTACTGTGATTGACCTAACTACAGCTGGTTTGTAAGTTAGTAGGTGTCGGTCTTGTTCACAATATATTGCAACAACAACAATAATGTACCAGATCACTGGTACTTATTTCAACAATTCAAACAGGACTGCAAACAAAGCTGATTTTTAAACCTGGCCTCCAACTTTTTTATTCATTGATGAATTTATCTTGCAAGGGGTAGGGGGTGGTATGTGTGGCAATGAGGTTTTGTGACCTTAACTCCTCTTTTACATTCCATTGTCTGCTTGCATCTCTTGGACTAATCTACCTGTATTGACTGCCCTGTCACTTCTGACTCTGAGTGTATATATAAGGAATGTGTTTCTTTCAAATATCTTTCATATTGATTTGTGTTTGTATATATAATATATATATGCATAGTGACAGGATCAGAGGAAAAGTTTTGATGACTCCATCCTCTTGTCAAACTTAGCCAGATTCTACCAAATTGTCCTTGATAAACAATTAAGGCAGAATAGTATTTGGTTGGGTAGTATTAAAAAATAACAAATACCAATTTTGAATTTTGTCAAGATTCAACCTCATTTACAGCATTATCCAAAGATATGTGGGGTGAGGATTGGGTGTTCCTTGTCTTACTTGATTTTGCTAGTTAATCACTTATAATTCACAAGTTTAAACCCAAGCAATTCCAGGTACTGATCCATTTTATTGTAATTAATTTTTTTTTAATTTCTCCTTACCCCACTAAAAAAAAAACCAAAAAAAAAAACGGAATTTTGAGTATACAAGTAAAATCTAAAATACTAGTTTGGCTATTTAAACTTTTCCTATTAATTTCTCAAGTTGATTCCCATTCCAAATGACATACTAGTAAAATCTACTCCAGTAACTCTGTAACAAAGAGACTTTTCCTTGTGTAAGCATGTACTTTTAAATATTTTATGAGGTAATTAACAAAAAGAACAGATTATATAAAAATTTTGGTGCTGAACTCTGTGTGTGTGTATAAAGAATATATTTTTGTTATACTCTATCATTCTTTTAAAAAAATACCAACTAATTCAAAAAGAAATTTAGAAGTTATTTATTGAAATATGCTTAATATATTCATGCACCAATTTTTTTTAATCATTTCACCCTGAACAAGGCAATAAAGCCACTGAGAGTGAAAGATTCTGAAAAAAATCATTATTAAGGAGAGAGAAGAATAAAAGAACAGGAATTAAGAAGACAGAAAATAACAAGTGACATTTGCATTTAAATTCAAAGTTGACAAGAGAACAAGAAACCAGAAGATAGTTCCATAAGTTAGAAGTGCAAAAGAAAAACTTGCATTATTTACAATCCTCGGACTGTTATCCTCAACTTCATTGCCATATTCACAACATTTCGGCCATTGTACACCCCGGCCTTCTTCAAGTGATTGGAATTTTGAACCGAATCCTTTATTTCGTCCACTGAGGTAGATTGTTCTAGTTCCTACAACATCCGAAAACGTTGTGAATATGGCAATGAAGATGAGGATAAACAGTCCAAGTAATGTAAATAATGCAAGTAATCATAATACCTCATCTCAGAGATATAGACCGAAAAGAAAAACTGTTAGCATAGAACTTATGGTTACATCAAGTCATTTCAACTGTAAATTGATGAGACTTTGCTACCAACCTAGTACCGCACTTAAATTTGTAAAGTCAAGGTAGCAAAGAGCAAAGCTCATCAGAACAGTTACCATGAAAATATTTAGGTACAGGGAAATTCTGTTACAATGATGGAAAAGTAACTGAAGCCAAGATGTCTGGTCAGGATCAATAACATAGCAGATTCTTTTTTGGATTTTGTGAAGAATCTCTTGATAGATAACAGAAGCACCAGTCCCGATGTAGCAGCAATATTCAATGAATGGTAGACTTATCAAGTTGTAAGATAGATTTTGGCAAGAAAAATTGTCTAGAATGACAATGAGCCAACTTTCTTAGCAAGCAGACCTAACAATTGATTCCATATAATCATTCCACTTCATGTCATTGAAAAATATTAAATGCTAGAAGAAACAATATCACTCTCCTGGAGTTTAGCATCAGCCATGTTAATGGAAGGCAAAAAAGGTTCTCTAAGACAAAAGAGAGTAGTTTCATTTTGGAGGTATTAAAATTAACAAGCAATTTTCCCAGATGGAGGGTCATTTTTTTTTTTTTTTTAAGACCAAATGTCATCAATATAGATAGTGATGACATCAAGAAGGTCATTGATAACTAGAAACAAAGTAGGTTCAAGAATAGAGACCTGGGTTCACTTGCGTTAATATAAAAAGATCTAGAAGAGTTGCCATTCAAGATCACATTCATTTCACAATTTGATAAGAAAAATTGATTCAAATCAAAAATTTGTCCAGAAATACCATAATCCTTCAACTTGTGAAGAAGACCAGCATGTCAAACACTTTTGAGATATCTAAAGCAACAGACCAAGCTTCAGCATTATTATCTAAAGCTTGACAGACTCTTTCAGCAATAACTGTTAACACATCAGCACTTGACCTAGAGAAGCGAAAGCTATATTGTTTGTTTGAAAGAAGATCCTGTGAGGTAAGATTAACCAATTCGAAGTTGATTAGAATGTGTAGGACTTTGCTAAAAAGAGGTAGAAAGCTAATAAATAATTAGAAGGATCAGACAGTTCGCCTGAGTTCCAACAAACCAGAAAGCAAGAAGCAGCAGGGCATTTATCGTAGTTTAAAGAGAACAGGAACCATTTCATGAGCACATTTCTTTAAGACTATTTCAGAGATACCGTCAAGCTTGCATGCTTTGTGAAGATCCAGTTTAGAGATGATCACAGAAACCATGGATGGAGATATATGCAAATCACACAGTAGAGACTCAGTGGAAAGTCAAAGAAAGATACTCTAGATGAGTCAAGAGTAGAATTTGAAGAGAATTTACAAGCAAAGCATTCTGCTTTATCAGCGAAAGATAACTCCTCAAATTCAGTGAAAACATGAGGTATAGGACTTACCCTATTTAACACACTTACAGAGCTGCCAGTTGTCATGAACACCAAACTTGTTAGAAGCTAAAAGGAGCCTCATTCTACCAAAGACTTAGCCACATTGAGGATATGTTTGTTTACAATTATTACACAATCAGGAGTCTGTTGTCATCAGAACTACCACATCGGTACAGTCAGAAAAAGTTATTCCTGTGGCATAACAGGCAGGTGTCAACCAAGGATTGTGACTTAAAAACATTGATGCTGGCTTTTATACAAGAAGAAACCTCAGTGGTACAATTTTCAATGGGAAGTTTTAAAATTTCACTCCAATGGGTGTCACAAAGCAAATCACAAAATGAATTGTAATCAGTATGCTGATAAAAGAAAAAGGTTTTGTGAATAGGTGGTTCAGGACTGCTAAATGAGTCAAAAGAAATATCAACAGATACTACACTGTGTTTTGAATTTACAAGAGGACAGTTGTGATACTTAAAAAGACCCATGTGAGGAGATAAGGAACAAATTAAGTAAAGAAGCATATTGATCAGAATTATTAGGGAAAACGAGTAGGGAAATCCACTATTTGTTGGAGAGACTGAGCAATGGGAAAATTAAAAGTCTGAATACCAGTAACAACATTAACATTAGAATGATTAAGATTGATATCATGAGCAATTAAATCACCAAACCCAAAGATGTTCACAGATGAATGAGGTGGGGGGGAGGATATTTCTATACTGACAGATATTTTGTCTAATATGTTATAGTCCTGACAAAAAGCACATGAAAGAATCATCCAGTGACTCAAGAGACGATTCCCTTGCTGTTGAAAGATTTTCCTGGATGTAAACATGTACCATATCTATTCTAGAATCTTTTTGACAAAGAGGAAGATAGTCTGGAATAGAATTCATTGGTAGCAATAGAAATTAAATTAGTCTTGCAATGTGCTAAGATATCACGAGAATGTTTCAAGAGAGAAGATTCTACATTACAGAAATTGGTATGAATACCACAAATATTGAAAAATAGAATGGTTTGGTGTGGAGATGATTCTTTTTTGTTTACTAGTATTTCTTTAAATTGTAATTGTCATGAGAAGATTAATTTGATTTTTAAGGAGAAAAAGGCCAAAATAATTATTACTGTGCATCATCTATGGCAATGCAAACCATCCAGAAAGTGGCTAAGAGTAAAATGCATAATGTAGTCTTTGGGCTGCTCACCAGAGATACATGCAGGGACAAACTATCCATGCATGACATGGCACTACAAATACCCTGATATTATGCAATTGTTGATCAGAGCAGCCTCTTTAAGTGCCACCAAAGAATTTGAACTCCTTACTACCAGTTGGATTGCAGCAACCAGAAAACTGCCAACACACTACACTTGAAATGAAAAGTCATAGCCACTGATCAGTCAGATCAGCAAAAGTTAAGACAGTTAAATTGTTATGGCTATGGAAGAAAGGAACTGGTAAACCACATCCTAAATATGAAACAAATCTCTACTCTGGTTAATAAAAATGGAAGGAATACAGACCAGGTGATAAGCAAAGCTATCTACTCTTATTTAACCTGTTTACAGTTCTGTTTGGGTGTTTGTAGCAGTGATTTACCTCTGCAACCCAAAAGGGCCAGAGTCACATGTATGTTTTGCAAGGGAGAGTGGAGACGGCAAATTAACGAGCTTCGGACAGCACTTTGTGCTGATGGAGGTGGTGGTGTTGCTTCTAGCCATTTTTATTGGC